AGAGCAAGTGACTGAACAGTTTTCAGTGACAATGCTGGTGTGAATGGATCAAAAATATTTTTTTTGGCCATGTTACATTTATGTCCTAGCAGTTCTGTTGGTTTCACAGCACATGAAGCTGGGAGACACACATACAGAAATAAATAGCTGGAAGCAAGAGCTGCCTACCTCAGTTTTACAAAGCACTGCTTGTAATTGTTGAACCAGGTCCTAAATAATAGTAAAAAAGAGTTTATCCATAGAAAAACAAGCCTCCCTTATCTTGAGCAAACAGAATAAGAGGGAGTGGTTGGAAAGGGTAAGGTTCAATTTACTGCTGTGTGTTTAAGCTGCGCTGAACTGGCAGACAGTCCCTTGAGAAATGCTGCAGCCAGGCACAGCCAGCAGGAGTGGGACTAATCACAGGCAGTGCAAAAGGGAAGAAACTTTTAAAGTGTATAATTTATTAAGCACATTTGTTAAGTATATTTGCTAAGAAATGTTTGTCTATTTRTACAAACCAACATGCAACMTGTGGCACCATGGATAGACAGGAATGAACGAAATGAGGGGGAAAAAAAAAGGCATATATTTACTATGCAGAAATATCACCTTCTAATTATGCAGCATTGCATCCTACACATATCCTGAGCTATTTTCCAGACAGTGCTGAAAGCCTGTGTTGTTGAATTATTCTATAAAATCTTTTATGTTATCCCCATCACTGCAGTGTCCCCATCCAACACTGTATCACATGATGGCTGTAAATGCAGCTATTAGATGATGGCTAYGCCTGAATTGTGGGACAGTGGAACACTTCTCATTTTTCAGTTCCAGGGGTATAACTTACTTTATCCTGACTCAGTCTTAAGAACCAATCATACATCATGGCTCCACTTCTCTGTGTAATTGTTTCCACAGATGGACCACAAGGAAGAACTGGAAGAAACCTGTCCCGAGTCTAAACAGGAGCATCTCATGGAAAGTACCTATCATACAACGGAGCTATAGCCAGTGCAACTGATATTTGTCATGTTCCACCACGGGGAAAGAAGCACATACTACAGACAAGGGCTTTTGGTTTCTTTGGTTTATTTGGTTTATTTGGTTTATTTGGTTTATTTGGTTTATTTGGTTTTCATTCAAACACAAATTTGCTCAGCTTTTGCTAGAGAAGGAACGCGGAGCATTAGGTGGAAAGGTGTGTGAGCTGTTGGAACTCCTGGGGCAAAGACTGTAAACAAGGGACTCCTGCAGGATGGATTTGTTTCTGACCAAGGATAATTTCCACGTAGTTATGACTAYTGTGATCTTTACTGTGAGCATTTTCTGTGGCCTTTACTGGTCTGGGAGAACACAGATTAATTAGCTGATTAAATTTGACTTCTTAATTCCAAGTGCTGAGCACTGCCCCATGTAGGCAGGAAATCCACTTGCAGTCTGTCCTTYGAAAATAATGCACATCGTCTCCCAGAAAACTATTTACACATTGTGGGGACACGGGCAAAAAAAGTAGGGAAAATGCACACTGATTTTCTAATTAATTAAAATTCACATATTCTGAAGCAGACCAAAGACATTATTTATCTGCTATGCTCGAGAAGTATTGTCATAAGTRGAGACAAATTATTAATTCCTACAGGAATCTGAGTATGATTTGGAAATAGTTCTGCTACATCTGTTGGTAAGAGTGAATTTCAAAAATCATTCATTCTTTAARATCTTTGTGTGCCCTCTATTGGAAACATGGGGTGGATTGCATCTTTTAATCTTAATTTTAAAGCTAGTTTTATAAATGCAGTAGCAGTCAATGAGGTATTTGTATCTTAAATTATACAGAGATAGCATTTTTAAATGATCAACACTTTATTATAGGAAACTAACTTGATTACTTTAACCTAGATTAAACACTAGTTAAAATAATATAGGTACAAATTACTATAACAATGTCATGTATTTTGCACTTCACACAAGATCAAAAAGCTTTTTTCTGTGATGTGCCTATCTGGAAAATGGCAGCCCCTGTCATAAAATACCCCAGCAGCTGAATGCATTGCATTGTTAAATAAATTGTAACTCAAAAATACAGCCCATGTACAAGAAAGCAAGGACTGCTTTCTGCCTTTCTGCTTCTCTGACAAAACTCTTTCTGCCTCCTAAATTACTGGGCTGTGTCAGGAGCCAACTCCACCCCAGCACTCCTGCAGCCAGAAGTGAGCTGCTTTGCCTTGAAGAGAAGGCCCCCAGAACACCAGAAGGGAAAAACCAAGATGTTCACTTACTTTTCCCATTATTTTGCCCAGAACTTTCCCATTCTCACCCAAGTAASATAAATTTAAGAAATAGTTAAAACTGAAATTTACAGCATTTGCAACTSACTTCACACACTGATTTTCACACAGTGTTGTGTTTTCCCCTGTGTTTTTCTTTCCTCCTTCTCCCATACGCTTACACTTCACTCCTTCCTGCCCAATATAGGAATAAAAGCAGGGCAATGTTTCTATTTCTGTCTTTGCCACTGACTCACTGTATAGTTTCTTAAGCATTTACATCTTCCACTTGGATCCTCTGAAATCTAAGAAGAAGAATGTGTCTGTTGATGTTTTCTTTATGGTAAGAGCACTCACAATGTCTCTCTCTGTGCAATTTCTATTGTATTTATGAAGGATTGAGGCCACACAGCAACCTCCCTATTAATGAGGATAYTAGTAGGGGTTCTGACTTCAGTCTAAATGCCTACTTTAATTACAACAATAGGAAATTTGCTTTTTGAGATTAGTCAGTCAGATTTTATTCAGCCAAAAACCACAAAATTTTGAGGTAGGGCACTCACAGATACGCATACAAAATAGCGTCATCACATATCCTTTCCTTTATAATGCATGCTAACAAGGAGCTAGAGATATTCATAGAGCATAATGAGATTCTGGGAACAGGAGATAGACAGAGTTGTTTTAACATGGAGAATGCTGGCTACCTTGTGCTACAGAGCCCTGCAGCACTACTGTCTGCTGAATATGCAAAAGCATTGCTCTTTTCAGCACTGTATTGCCTTAGGTCCATCTACTGTCCCACTTACAATCTTTCACAAATATATTCTGTCCTTTGGGGTCATTCTGTTGATTGCTAAGTAAAAGTAAATGTATCAAGTCAAATTATCAAGTGTGTAGATCACTTTTACAAACTAAGGTTTAGTCCTCATTATTGGAATGAACATCAAAGACCTACTGTGATTTACAGATGTTGGCAAAATCCATGTATGTGGAGCTGCAGATGGTTCCAAATAAGACGAGAGTGGAGTTGGTTCTTATCTCACAGGCTATGTTATTTTTACAGCTCCTACTGTTTTAACAAAGTATATATTTAATTAAAGAAGATTCTAGAGCAATTGTTTGAATYATGAGTTAGTCTTACAGATAAACATATTAACAAGAAATGTATTCCAATTTTCAGTGTCACAGCAGGAATAACACAGTGGGCTGCATTATGAAGACTGTGGTGTCCAAAGCATGAAGAAAATAGGATCTTAAAAAACAGGACCAAATGTTAACAATCTGTTATGAAATGGTACAATCCAGCTAGTTTCGCATAAATATCCTGATTTTTTTTTTACAGGGTAAGCTGCCAGCTATGCTGTTCAAAATTTATTTTAAAATTTTCCACTCTCTCTACTAATTACCAGAAATATCATAATAGTACAATGGAAATCAGATACTTATTGCCTTGAAAATTAATTACATTGGAGTAATGTAGTGTGTCTGGAGTAATTCTAATTAAGAGGCAAAGTAATAATAAAAAAATACSTAATGTAAAAATAAATGCATGTTTCCCATGTTAACTAATTACATTAATTGACATTTTCTCTTCACATCCCAATCTCTTTTTTCTCATGACAGGATTACTGTATAAGTTCTTCGAAAATGAAGGATTATACCCTATTTGCATTAGGGTACTTTATTGAATGTAGGCTGTAAATATATACTGTAAATACATAGATTTATTTGACAATGTGCATTTTATAATAGCAAATGCAGGGCTGTTGAAATACATCAGAAGATTTCACCTTTGGCTGAAAAATAAAGAGGCAGGGTTTGGGTGCAATGAACAACTTTCTGCCAAAATGCAGCAGATCCAAACTAGAGATGTCAGGTTTCTGTGCTTTTGGTTTCATTACATAAAATCTCTGAACAAAAAATAAACGGCAYAATAATGTTTTGGTAAAAACAGGTTCTGACAGCCAGATTTGAGCGCATTCTCAGTGTATGTAAAACGACACGAAGTGACATCCTGCTCTCTAACAAACCTGCGATGAGATCGCGGTCCCCCTTCGCTGACACCTGGGCAAGTACAGGTTGAGGACAGGCAAAGGGCTCTTTCCGATGCTGTGGGGAACTCTCCTCTCCCCGCGCTCGGAGAAGGCTCTCGGTCCCTTCCCCATCACCCCCCGACCCCTCCGGCTGCTCGGAGTTTCTCTGCTCTGTCCCGGCGCTGCGGGCGGAACTCGCGGCTCCCCCGCTCCCCTGCCCGGCCCCGCTCCCCTGCCGGCCCCGCTC